AACACTTCTTTTAATAACCAATAAAATAAAAGCTAATTAGACTAGCATAAAACTCTTGTAACGGCTTGAAAAAAGATATACAGTACCAAAACCGACTCCAGGTTAACAACAGCTTTGACGACTCTAGAGTGCAGAAATTTCGACAATGACGACTTCAACACGATTTCGAAAGTGGCCCCAGTGACGGTACCGTAAGAATAAGGGAAAGCCTAACCATATTTATGATTAAAAAAATGCTTTTGATATATTGGGAATGAGCAGATTCGAAAAGAGGTTAAAATTGTATATGTATCTTATCTCCAATTTTTATTATCGTAGATCACTGGTTCTTATGCGGATCACGAATTAAGTTTCTTAATTCAGCCAATCAGGGAACAAACCGATGTAAAAAAAAAATTCATTTTTTTATGAAATTTACGTTAATATCGAAACTTTACCTCTCGGCTAATTCTATCACTAACCCTAACTACTATGTCAAACCTTAAAAGAATTTTATATACAGATTGGTTCGAACAGTTCCGGACAATAGCACTTGGGAAATCAATTATTTGCTGCACAAATATTTTACATACGTGCGTACGTATAGTAATGCAGTAGAAATGTGATGTATCTAAGTTATAACTTGTTATAACTTTTTATTTTAAGTTATGGCATTCGGGTCGGGCGTATTTTTGGAATTGGCCCAAATTAAAAACCCCGAATTAATTAAAATTGGGAATTGCCTGCTACTAAAGAACTTCGCATATCGGCGAATTTGCAGAATTGACCTAAATTAAGGTCCATATATTTTAACAATGCGATTATAAAACTGATCCCAAAATTTCAGCTATTATGCATTCTGCAATTGTTAAATCCAGTGAACCTAATTTAGATCCATTCCGCAAATCCGCCGATATGGTACTTATTTAAACTAAAAAAGTTAGTATAAAAGTTTACTTAAATCAAAAAAAACATTTTAGTTTTCTTATTTATAGTATAATTTTGTATGGATTAATAGGCAACAATATATTTATCTTCTAAACAAAGTTTTAGTTTTGAGATTATATTTTAAATAACTATTTTAATTGCGAGGATTTTTAACTATGATGTAATCAGTAGTGTTCCGGACACCTGTCCATAGACATGTGGACATGGACATTGGACACTCTATAGTCTCCCTATATTTATAGGCAGTCCATGTTCATGTTTTGCTTTTAGCTTTGGCTAACATCGAGCTATTACATTTTATGGAGGAAGGGTGAATGGAATGGTTGTATTTAAAGCCATATAAATAAAGATTAGAATATGATAAGTATGGCCATTTGTGAAATTTCAGCTTCCTGCCTTTTTTATTCGTAGCGAAGGTTTTTAACATAATGGTAAAAGGGTAAGTGCTTGAACAGTTATTATTTTATAATCCATCAATGAAAAATTTTAGGCAATCAGCGCAACACTGTGAAAAACAAGAATGTTTGGATCTCCATTTTTTATCAATTGCAGAATTGGAATGATAAATACTTTTGATCGGCTAAAATCATCAGCTACAACATTCATTGAACTATTATATACAATTGATTAAGAAAAACGATATGTTTATAATTAAATTTGCTTCCCGACCTATTCTGACCAATCGACTAAAGTGTTTGAGAACACCTATTATCTAGTCAATCAAGTCAATTATCAGATGTTTCTTGGATTATGATATACAAGTAATGGTTTAATATTTTTAATTTAATTTTGATGAGTTTAAAAAATATACAGTAAGTTTATTACATATTATTCCAAAAAATGTTATGCAGCATTATTACACAATTGAGTATCATTACAGCAGATTTGTCAAATTTAATTACTTTTTGGTAAGTTTTAGGGCCAAATTTATTATTTATTTTCCAAGTTGAATCCTCCAAAAAAATTATTAGCACTCCGATCTAGGATAACAATGCGTCTTGCCCATTTTCCAACTTTCATAATCCATTTTTCCAACTACTGAACCCATTTTAAATTTTAGTAAAATTTGACAACCCTTTTTAAATTTATCATTACATATTAAAATAATTTTTATTTGTATATATTTTACTACGTATATCATTGTTTAAATCAAAATAATAAGTCTGAGGAAGTCAATTAAATGACTCGCATGAGATAGTCAAATTTTGGGTATTTTACAAATGCGCTGTAATGTTTCGAAAATATTGCATACTCAATTTGAAATATTGTCCCACTTAACCTTAAAGATATTGCCAACGATATTTTGATATTAACTCTGATCAGGTCAGAGGCTATATAATTGGCAAATTTTCAAGACGGCACTTCGTCAAAATTTTCACGGTGTTCACTTGTTTGATGACTGTGCTGCTTGGATATTTTTCTCCTTTTGTATATATAAAATATAGTTGCGACCAACAATATTATACTTATAATGGCAGCAATTGCACCAAAAATTATTCCAAATGGAGGTGGAGACGAAGGTGGAGGTGGAGATGTAGGACAGCTTGAGTTACCAGGTGTGAAAATGGATACCCATTTTAGACATGGCATATCCAATAAATAAATCGACGGATTAATATCAGTCGATTGGCCTTTATCATTAGTAATGTTACCTTTAAGAAAAAAAATAAATAAATATTAATTTTATTTTTTAAACAATAGTAGAAAATAAGAAAATTAACATATTGAGATACCAAAAGCAACTATCATATAATTTTGATACAAATTTGCGGTATGATATGCTAATGGAGGTGGCCTTTGACCTGAATCCATTAGTTCAGAATATTTATAAGGTTCAGATGTAATATTAAGCAATACAAAACTCGGCTTTGCAGTAGTTTGATTTTTTATATAACCTATTAATATATAGATAAATTATTAATATATAGTATAGTATTATATTAAATTAATTTAAAAAATATCAGCTGATAGTTTACTTGAGGTTCCACCTATAATGATAATTGAAGTATTATCTTGTGTTAAGGTCGCTGTGTGACCTGCTCTCGGTTGAATTTGAATTGATGTATACTCTGCATACTGAAAATATATTATAAATAAATTTATGCTATTAAAAAAATATGATATTAACTATATGTAGTTCTTAACAAGCTTACTTTGTATGACCAGATTAAAGAATTTGTATCGAAAATCGCAATCTACAATAGAGTTTATAAATAAATCTTATCCAAATTAAGACTATAAAATGAATAAAAAAAAATTTTTTGTCTATTTTTTTTTGTAAAATTAATAAAAATAACATACTTCTCTCATATCTAATGGCCAAGCATCTTCTCCAGGAGAAGACTGATTAACACCTCCGATATAAAGAATCTGACCATTTGGAAGTAATGTCGCTGTACTATGACTTCGAGGTGAAGGAACATTATCAGCGTTAATTTTATCCCACTTGAGTAAGGTAGTGTCATAAGTATACAAATCATTAAAGCATATAAATTCTTGTGATCCAGTATCAATTTGAGCTCTTCCTCCGAATATATACATCTTTCCATTTTTATCTATTACTGTTGAAGTTGATCTACGTCTAATAGGTGGTGCACTCAGGTTTCAACCAAGTTTGGGCATTTGGACGGTAAATAAAAATACTTTCATTTGTTGTTTTCCAAGTATTGAGTAATTCATTTAGCATTAATGTTTGATTCGAAGTTATTGTTTCGTTATGATCGATTTGATTAAGGAGTGAAAGGTTTTGTTGTACACCACCGAAGATATATATTTCATCTTTGGAGGGACCACCAATTACTGGGATCCTATTGGTGTATTAAATAATATTTGAGTGCATAAAAAAAAAAAGTTTTTGGAAATATTTAAGTATATAATAAATTTTAAAAATTAACCTTTTTCACTTCCATACATCATTTGAGCAGGAGTATCAGAAAGGTCCAAATACCGAGGATTATTTGTAGAGAATGATGATAAAAGATCCAAGTAAAAAACTTGATCAGATAAATTATATCCTCTTATTGAACTCTTTATTGGATTTGTAGATGGTATTATACGAGAACCTCCCATAAAATAAAGCCGACTTTGAAATATTATAGATAAATGACCGGCTCGACCTTCTGGCATGAAGCCATTAATTTTAATAATAGTGAATATCAAAATGAATATAATGATTTTAATCAAGGAATTTACTTTTAAATTCAAAAGAGAATGCATAATTACTGTAATACTATAATCAATGAGTAATAATAAAATAATAAGTTTAAATATTAATTGTTAAACAGATTTATTACAATTTAAATATAAAGAATTATTGAATACTGATACTTGAATGTAACAGGTACGTACCTACGTACGCATACAAAATGTTTGAACGGTACGATATACAAATTGCGTCCTAAAATGTATGTACAGAACCTATGTACGTACGTACGTACAGTACGTACATGTGACAAAATATTTTAAAATATTTTGTCATCCGATTGTGTTATTGCAAATTGAATTCTTTACCAGGGATTAAATATAAATACGAAATTGAAACAACTAGGTAATTGCAATATGAGCTACGATCTACAAAATTTTATCAAAGATAGTAAAATGCTATTGTAGGCGCTCTATTTAGTTAGCTATTCATTATTTTACGATGTAAAATTTTGTAAAGTTGAATAACAGTAATTAGTCCATGTATATTATATTCTCACAAAAGTTACGAACGATACCTAAAATTATATACCAATCACAAACAGATGAACGTAAACAAATTTATAAGACAAACACTTATGAATATAAAAAGAAATTTCTATGTAATGGTATTTTAGTTAAATTATAAGAATGAATTTATTTTAGTGATACTATCAGAAGTATCTTTTATAAACTTGAGTTACTGCCACTATACATACAATTTAAACGATAAAATTAAATGAATTGGTTAATAATTTCTATTTGCATTCATGCATTTTAATTGTCATTTTAATGACGTTTTTAAAGGAAAATTTCAATATAAATTGAGTGTATATATACTTACAATATAAAGAAATGAAAGTCAAATATTAATTGATGCGCTGAAATGTATAAACGATATCACTAATAACAAAATAAAAAAGTAGACCTTTAAACTTGAGTTATAATCCATATCTAATTAATTTGAATACAAGATTAATGTCTCACATCACATAGTAAATATTATTATTTTGTTGTTATTTAGAGACTGAAGTAACAACGTGAACTTCCAGACGAATCAGCTTTTTGACAAAAAAATGTATAAAAGCATAAAATTACAAAATTACTTGTTAAAATAAATAATGTCTTGTGCTTTGTCGTAACTTTTGTAGTGCGTAGCGTTGTGTTTAGATAGTAGGACTTAATGATAGTTTGAGAAACGCGACTCGTGTGATAGAAACCTTCACAGCTAAACTAGCTAATGCACATGTATGACAAGTTATGGCGTACGATTTAACAATATAAATAACAATGTTTATACTCATTTTCTAGAATAAATAAAATAATTAAAATTAATAATTATCTAGAATAAATAAATAATTAAAAAATTGATAATTACTATAAAAGTATTTATAATAAAAAAAAGTTTACCTGCAAAATTTTCTATATGTATCATACAGATCAACAAAAAAAATTAACGTTAGTTTCACAATTCGGCCAATCAGAGACAAGAAACTAAATCACGTTAATATCGAAATTTTGCCTAATAAATCACTTGCGTACTAACAAAAAAAAAAATTTGCAAAATTTTGATATAATTCTTTCCATTGATCCTATCAATAACCCTAACTAGTATGTTAAAATTTAAAAAGAATGTGACATACAGATTGGTTCGAATAATTCCAGCCAATAGAAACTTGGAAAAATTATTAGATTCCATTATTTGTTATACAAATATCGTACGTACTATCATGTGTATATAAGATATAGCAGACAAAGTATTGATTTTTTAGCAATTTAATGAAGAAACCTACTAGAATATAAGTTTATAATTTCTATGTACAAATATTTGGTCAAAATAAATACATGTATACACCGCTTCTATCTTTTAAGCATTTATACAAATTTATCATCTCAACTATGTCCAAGCTAGTAACTTGAATCGGTTTGGCTATAATCGGTTAATCGACCCGAACCGAATAAATTTCAGTTAACCAATTGAGGAATTCTTACAACTGTTTTCATAATTCCTGGGACACCTGATAAAATTTTGCCGCATGATTTTTCGGCCGATCCGATTTTAGACATTGGCATGATCGGTATACAGTACGTATAAAAAATATATTTTTGAATCAGGTCCAATTTTTAATATTGATATACATAATTCTTAATAGTTACGTACATCTTGGTCCGAATTTAAAAATTATCTCCCATATTTTAATTGATATTTAAACATATCAATATCATATTTATGTAATAAATTCTTACTAAAACATGTTCAATAAAATTTTCATAATCAATTCATAATCTTCTTGAATACAACACGATAAAAGACCATTAATACACAATGCACCTTCGTCTTCCTCGAACAAAAAAATGCATTTTTTTAGCACGCATTTCTGAAAAATCCCGCCATAGCGTCGTGATAGCGTTCTTCGCTTCATCTAAAAAAAAAAAACTATCTCACTTGTTTTATACTGAGAGATTTGTAATTCAATAAGGTTTTTTCATTCATAAAGTTTTAAGATATTTTATATCGTTCATGTTGAGGGAACGTGATTTCTTGAAAGCGACGGAAGTTTTTTAATACAGCAATATCATTGAAAATGCACAAATACCCGACTTACAGAGACCTACTAACACCTGAGTGTTTTGCAAATTTTCGAATTGATAGACCTTTTCAATAATTTTCCAGCGAATGTGCTTTGAAAGTATCATACTTTTTGAATTCAACAAGATATGCATAATCTTACTGTATATTAGTCACTTGAGTTTAAATTATGTATATTATATCAAAAAATTTTATTGAATTTATTATGCCGAAATAATAACTTAACCGAATCGGCCGAAAATCATTAGGCTAATTTTTTATCAGGTGTCCCGGAATTATAAAAACGGCTGTAATCGGTTGACCCAGTACAACCGGTTGAGAATTGGGTAACCGTCGGCGGGTCTATATAGTACGAAAATGACGTAAGGAGAGTAAAGAGTCCGAAAAGAAAAATGAATGACATAAAATACGAGCGAGGTTGAGACAAAATTTTGAGCAAAGTTCCAAGAATTTCCGAAGGAAGTAGAGATATTAGTCTTAACCGGTTAGCAACCGGCTGAATGAAATAATTCAGTTCGGTTAACCGATTAAGGAAATTTTTTCGGTTCAAATCACTACTGTATTCTTTATGGTTAAAGCACATGCGTTATGGAATAAATGATTGTTATTGTATGGGTATGTAGTGAATAACCGTGGCCGAAGGTCACGGTTATTCATATACCCATACTATAACTTTATTATTTCACGGTGTCTGACGTACAATCCTGTGCAATAACCAAGATGAAAAAGCACAGGTTGTTACATAAGACCCGTGGAATAAATTAATTGCCCTAATATAAATTTATGATTTAGGTACATACATCTTTCTTTTCATATAACTGGCCAAACAAACCCTGAGTACTTGTAAAAATAGTCAAGAGGCAGAAACCTAGAAATTTAAAATCGGTAAATCGACTGAACATCGCATTTTGAAATCACCAATCATATTTATGCATTTGTTTGTATAACTTCACATGCAATAAAAAGATACTTACTATGCAATAGAATTGTTTAGAATAAGCTGCTAAACCATCACGTTTAATTTTTTTGATTTTTTTTAACATTACTAGAAATTAATACAACATTTCTTTTTTTTTTTACCGTTTATTTTGTCCGTTATTACAGCATTAATAAAGTCTTAGTACTACAAATGCTAAATGACATTTTCTTTTTTAATTAAATTTTGAAGAGAAATCATTTTTGCCTACTACAAAAACAATTTTTCTAATATATTCTAGAATCCCTGTTACGTCAGATGATCAATTGATATCTATGATTACAGCATCGTCATTCTTTCCTGGTTTGTGCACAATGTTGCACAGCTACCTTATATAAATGATTGATCTTGCTATGACTACCTCAAAGCTTTTTCAAATGTCGCAAGTAAGCGCTAAATTACTTGAATGTTTTTCCAATGATTTTGCACAACTTCTCGAAAGTGAACACGATTATAATGTTGTTGTTAAAGTCAAAAAACAACGTTTTAATTTGCATTCATTAGTTTTATATCAACGTTCATCATTCTTTCGTCAAGAATTATCAAAAAGAATAACATTATTGAAATTACGTTACCTAATATTTCCGTTGAAACATTTAAAATTTTAATTAAGTATGTGATTAATCTAATATTATTCTACAGTAATAAAAATTAATTATGTTTAGTATACTAATTAAAAATCCTTTTAGATATATTTACACCGGCATAGTTCTATTAGAAAAGATTGAACCATCGGCCATATTTGATCTTTTAATTCCTTCCAACAAATTAGGACTCGAAGAACTAGTTGAATATGTACAGTCTTATCTTATTAATAATAAGGCGTCTTGGCTTCGATTAAAATTTAGTCAAGTTTATAGCACCATTTTTGAGGTTGACAATTTTAAGGCCTTACAAGCTTTTTGCACTGATATTCTTGTGAAACATCCAAAATTAATTTTTGATTCTGAAGACTTTACTTCTATTCAAGAAAAAGCATTAATTACTCTTTTAAAGCGAGATGATTTGCAAATAGAAGAATCCGATATTTGGAACAAGCTTATTGAATGGGGGAAAGCACAAACTAAAACTTACCTTCTGATTTCAAACAATGGACTGACAAGGATTTCTTAGCCTTAAAGACTTCACTTGACAATTTTATTCCCTTAATTCGATATTTTCAAATGTCTGGGATCTTGTAACGAAAGTTAGACCTTATCGACAAATTATTGGATCAAACTTATGGGATGATATTACATCAAGGATTATGGCTCCTAATGTACCGATCTCTTCAACTATTTTACCTGCTCGTAAAATAATTCCTGTTCAACTTCCTGCTCGTGAAACACTTTTCATTCATGAACCATTTATTATTAATGAAGAACATGCAGCAGAAATTTTATCATCAATTGATCGTAATCTGTCAACATATGATTTTACTAGAATACCTTACAAATTTAAACTACTCCTTAGAGGAAGTAGAGATGGATTTACTTGTGAATCATTTCATAAATTATGCGATAATATACCTGGAACTGTGATCGTTATAAAGGTTAATGGCACAAATGAAATACTTGGTGGATATAATCCGTTAATTTGGTCATCTGAAAAATCACTTAAATGGTCTGCAACGGATGATAGTTTTATTTTTTCATTGAAAACTCCAAATTTATCAAACTCTATCTTTAGTAGAATCATCAATACGTGTAATACAATTGGGTGTAATTTCCAAAGCGGTCCAATTTTTCACCATTTCTATCCAGTTGATTATAGGAAATGGAGGTACAATGAATGTAATAACCATGAAAACCAGCTTAGAAATTCTGGTCAATTTTTAATTGATGAATTTGAAGTGTTTCAAATCAGCTTGTAATCATCAAATTATTTTCTCTAAATTTATTTTGGGACTAAATAAATGTGCTTGTGCTTATAAATTAATTTCCCAGTGCTATTATTTTAACTGTTTTTTTTTTAAAAAAAAATTTGTCTTATTAAATTAAGGTGATGAATTTTAAGCAATTCATTAAAATTGATCCAAAGATTTATTTTATATTAAAAGCCCGTGGATTAACTTATAATATATTAATAGATGTAATGGGAACATTATTGATTTAAAATTGAGCCAAATAATGCATTCTTACTCTTAGGTTCTTATTCACGCTCACTATTTTTTTTACACTAATCTCGGACCTTAATTTAAGCTAAAGAATTAGTTGTTGGCTAATAAAAAAATAAAGTCTTACACCTTTAGCAAAGCAAATTTTATAAGAACAGGGAATAGGTCAGCTGTTACCCACGAAGTCATAGGAAGACATTTATATGATTGGTTAATTTTTGTCGATCTACCCGTGATTGCCGTGATAATTAACCAATCAAAATACATAATTTTTTAAAACGCTTATATCATTTTAATACTAAAAAACGAAGAAAACTTCATTTAAAGAAGCTTACAAACCAATAATCACATACAAAGAATTTATCGTATAAGGTTGAAAACAGATAGAAACGCGCAAAGTGGAATAAATGTAATATTTATTATTAAATCCTCAACTCATTAAAGAGTTAATACGTAAATAAATTATTAGCGAAACTATCTTTGTTCTTTATTATTTTGAAAAAATCAAGTAATTCGATTTTATTTCGCTATTATGATCTTTATTAGAACTACGATACGATCTTTAACAAATATGATTAATAAAAAAATAATACTTATAGACCGTACATATTATTAACCAACCCAAAGTAACTAATGTTTTAACACTATAATATTCAGAATACATAAAACAAGAGCGTTAGTATAAGCTTTTTATTATAATTCATGTTAAATGGTATAACAAAGTTCTTTAGGTTTAGAACTTACACGTAATGTTTCAATCTTCTTTTTTTTTGTTGGCCGTTTCCGGCATTCAGTGCTTACATACTGTTAATATGACTAATACTACAATAAATAGCAAAAATTTTCGCTTCTAAGTGAAATTCTTGGGGTTATGATTATTTTGATTATTTTTGCACAATGAATATAGACGTTCTAACGAAGCGAAAATGGCATTTGCTGTGATTTTTCATTAGTGAAACATTATGTTCTCGAAAAGTACTTTAAAGTGTATAAATAAGTTACCCAGGCAATTGATTTACATCAGCCAATCAGACGAATGTCTTTCTATGAGTGTAATGCAAAGCGACAGGATATCACGTGAACGAAAGAAGAGCAAGCACATGACCTGTCACCTCCATAATGCCGTTACAGGTAATACTAAAAGCATCTGAAAATCAGAAAATGGCGCAATGAAAATCAAAGACAAATAAGGCGCTACAATGGGAATAGCGGGTACGTATATAAGTTAGGTACGACGAATCAACGTCCGCAAGTGCTTGAACAGAAAATTCGCACGACCCACCCAACCCACCCGAGATGAAGACACGTGATTCTATCATTTCCTCACTTGCATTTCTTCGCTTGCATTTTTCACTCACAGCCGGCTTGCTTCGGCAGGCGGAGAATGGCCCCACCAGCTACAATGATCCTACGGCGACTTCCAGTGCAATTACGATTGCTTTTTCGCGGGATGTCTTTGCCGCTCTGGCCAACCCGGTCAGTTGCTTCTCTAGCACATTTCTGCTATTTCAATAAAATTCATCTCCGGCCTAAATTATTTGCCGGCATCAGGGACACGGAAATTGTGTGATTTAGTGTGATTAAACCAAATCGCACTAAATCGCATAATTTTACATCATATTTATATTCTCCGATAAAAAAATTGTGTATTAATTTATTCTCCGATTAAAAAATTTGCTAGTTGAGCGCAGTATTTAAAAAATTGCAAGTTTTTTTTACGAGTAAAATTTGCAAATCGCACTTTTAAATTTTAATCATCAGTTAATCGCATATATTACACATACCGCACGCATAATTTACAAATTCTTATCGCATAAATTCCGTGTCCCTAGCCGGCATAGTCTAAATAAACACAAAATGTCATGTAATGCGAATGTTTTTCGAATTTATTATTTCGCAAAATATCAGACATTAATTCAAATTTTTGCCCCAACCATTCATTTTTCTTTTCGGATGATTTCGGAACTTCTCTCAATTTCTAATCTTAGTTTCATCTAGCATTATGTTATTATTCTCATATTATACTTATATAGTGAACATATTTTTCGAGTATTATGTTCTCAAATTTTTTTCATAGAAAAACATATATAGAATACAGTATCAAATGTTCTCAAATCTAAAAGTATGTTCTCATGAGTACATAGATTTCCAAAAATTGATTGCTAATCAAGGTAGATCGCCAATTATCATCCGATACGTACTGCAATTTTTTTTTTTTTTACTCAAATTAATTGCCAAATGTAGTAAGACATAACAGGTATATTTTAAATTTAAAGCCATGCACTGCCACAAGCTTTATAAAATTTTAACTACGTACAGTACGTACGTACGTACGTACGTACGTATCAGATTAACGTTAATGTATATCAATTCAGAACAGATTTAAATCAATATACTAATTCAGATGGTCTTTGTTTCATTGATAAAGGCTACCCGAAAAGGTACACATAATGACGCTGAGCAAAAGATCAATTTGAACATGTGAACATGCTATCCAATAGTATGCAAGATATTGTACACAGTAAGTTACCTGTAATCATATATTTTGTGCTTCGTACTACGTTCCTGGTATTAATACACCGTACCTGGTACAGTATTAAAAATTTTTACTTCATTTTTTAATAAAACATGAAAACATTACCGAACGAATGCCTTTATGAAATATTTAATAATCTTCGAAATCTTCGAAAATATCATAAATACTTATTTTCATGCCTTCTTGTAAACCGTCTATGGTGTAGAATTATTATACCAATATTATGGAGCGAACTAGATATACACTTTGAAGATAAAAGGCTTGTAAAAATATGCCTATTGGCATTGAATGTTGAGGAACAAGCTTTATTAATCCCTTTTAATCTAACGCTTCCAAAAAATATAAAACCATTATTTGATTATACAAGCTATATTGCATCTGTTGATTATTTTTATTTAAACAAAGGAATTGAAAATTATTTTAATTTAACTTTTGAAAAACGAATAATTGCTGTCAAGTGTTCTTTGGCTCTTATGTTTTTACGATCTAGTGAAAAACTTAAGCAATTAAATTTTGATGGAGCAATTTATAACCAAGCTATATTTGCAGAAAGGCTTTGTAAAAACACATCTATCGTCTCCCTAAAATTATCGTATTGTGATTTTAAAGATAAGACTTTGGATGATGTTCTCAATAAATGTATCAATCTGACTTCATTAATTCTTAGAGGCAATCAACTTGATCTTGCGAGGGTTAAAGCGCTTGCAAAGATTCTTTGTGCAAACAATACAGCCCTAATTTCTCTAGATCTTTATAATAACCAACTTCATTCTGAAGGAGGAAAAATATTGGCGAAAGTCCTCTGCAAAAATACCTCTGTAACTTCATTAAATCTTGGTGATAATAATCTCGGTTGTGAGGGTGCAAAAGCATTAGCAGAAGCCCTTTATATAAATACTACTCTAACTTCCTTAAATCTTTCCTATAATGAAATTCGTTCTGAGGGTGCGAATGCATTAGCAGAGGCTTTATGCAAGAATACAACTTTGACTTCTTTAAATCTTGAAGATAATCAGCTTGATTCTGTAGCAGGGAAGGCATTGGTAGAGTTCCTTTATATAAATACTGCTTTGACTTCTTTGGATATTTCTTCTAATCGTCTTGGTTCCGAGGGTGGAAAAGCGTTAGCAGAGGCTCTATGCATGAATACTACTCTGACTTCTTTAAGACTTCACTCTAATTTTCTTGGTTTTGAGGGTGGAAAGGCGTTAGCAGAAGCTCTATGCAAGAATTCTACACTAACTTTCTTAGATATTCGCTATAATTTTATTGGTTCTGAGGGTGGGAAAGCGTTATCAGAGGCTCTATGCAAGAATACTACACTAACTTTATTATATTTCAATACTAATAACTTTGATCCTGACGTAGAGGAAACATTAGCAGAGTCCATATATAGAAATAATAGTTTGGCTTCTTTGGCAGAAAAGTGTTAACAGAAGCGTTATGTAAGAATTTCTTTGAAACTTGACAATAACTAATTAACTTGATTCTGTGGGTAAGTAAGTATTAGTAAGGTCCTTCATAAAATAGTACACTGTCTTCTACTTTTGTCTCTAATAATTGTACTGTTCCTGAGAAAGGAGTACATTAACGGAACTACTTATAATAACACTATTCTTTATTTTGTTATCCCTATCATGATGTTAAAATTAATCGCTTTATCGCATTATTTTCTACGATATCATATCGGATTGAAAGAAATTTATGATATATAGCATGTTTTATAAATATGTGCTGTAATATTTATTCTTGCATGTAATTATTGGCTAAAGTTGAAGAAAACGGAGTAAGCCTTCGATTTTTACGACATTTTTAGTACTGATAAAAAAAAAAAAAATCTTATAAAATAAAGGTTGGCTTTTTTTTTACATTGCCCTTTCAAATTTTAGACATTATTTATGATCAATTTGCAAACGAAAATACAGTGCCACCGGCGCGACCTGTTGTGCTACTTGTTCCAATTTCGTTATCTGTATTATTTAATATAGAATTTATATATAAAAATTTATTTAAACCTATATAAATTTAATTTTATAAAAAAAAAAGTTATATGTTTATAAATTTTATGTATTATAATTAACTTTTATATGCTATAATTTCTAAGTAAAATTTTTATAAAAATTTTATTTATTAAATTATATAATTTTTATAT